AACTATAGCTACAACAATTGAAGAGTTGGGGAATTCAGTTGAAAAGTCTTTAAAAAGCAAATGCATCAATTTCAACAAAATAATTCGTTAGCCCATGTTAATAATTGTTAATAAATTCGTTAGCCCATGGAATCAATTGTTAATAAATTTGTTAGCTTATGGACAAAAGCACTGAAGCTTCCGATATGGCAGAATTGGCAATCTTTGTCAGAGGAATCAATGAACATTATAATATCATGGAAGAAATGGTTGCTTTTGTATCGTTAAAGGACACAACCAAGTCTGTAGATTTATTAGATGCATTAAAAATGACGATGAAAAGATTTTCCTTATCTATGAAAAATATATCAGCTATCATAACCGATGGAGCCCCTGCCATGATTAGCAAAAATGGGGGACTAATTAAAATGGTTAACCTACCATCCCTACTGGTAATATGATCTTAATGGCATATCATTGTATTGTGCATCAGGGTAATTTGTTTGGACAAATTTTAAAAATGGAAAGTGTAGTAAGCATTGTTAATGGTTCAGTAAGGGGGAAATACTCAAAAGATTTTATGATTTAAGAACTGAAATAAAACAAAAGGGAAACCTGTGGCTGAATTTGAAGATAAAGATTGGGTTTTAGATTTAGCTTTTTTAGCAGACTTAACAGAACATTTGAATGATTTAAATTTGAGACTTCAAGGAAAAAAATCAACGTATTAATAGTATGTTCCAAACAATAACAGCATTTGAAAGAAAGTTAAAATTTTGGCACAATCAAATAAAAGTAAGATTTGACACATTTCAGTACTTTGGCTGCACATAAATCTGTGAGTTGCACAAGATATGTAAAATATGCTGCATTACTTTTTGATTTAATTCAAGAGTTTGAAAGTAGATTTCAAGATATTCAAAAAAATTAAGAGTATTTCAATATATTTTCTACTCCATTTTCTCTGGAAATAAGTAAATTACCTTCAAATCTTCAAATGGAATGCATTGAACAGCAAAGTGACATTCAACTAAACGAAAAATTTGAAAATGTTTCTTTACTGAAATTTATAAAGATTATGTACCCCGCGATAAATATCCTAATTTTCACAATCATGCTTTATATTTCTGAACAATTATTTTCAAGAATGAAGCATACAAAAAACAAAAATAAGACAAAGATCACAGACAAACATCTTTAAAATGCATTAAGAATTGCAATCTCATCTATTGAACCCAATATCGATTTGCTAGCTCAAGAAAAGCAAATTCATCCATCTCATTAATTTGAGAAAAATATGTAATTCAAATTTTAAAAAATAATAAAAAGTTAATTTATTTTAATAAAACAACATAGAGCTAATTTTTATTTCAATTTGTTAAAAAATATTGTATGTGTGGCCCTGCAATTTTTTTTTTCTTTGCAATGCAGCCCTCAAACAGTCATAGTTTAGACACCCATGCCTTAGAGTGAAAGCTAAACTTACCTCTCGTGAGGATAACAAAGACTTTAAAATGCCAGCAGTTCTTCCATCCAATCATGAAGTGGTCAAGATTTTAGTGTGATATTATCATAAGAAAAAAATGCACATGCTGGCACTGAAATTTTGATAAATATTCTATAAGAGAGATTTTAGATTTTGAATGCTCATAAAACTGCGAGATCTCTCGTTAATTGATACACGATGTGTAGAAGATTTTCTGCAAGAAACTTATACTATGCCTCCTCCAGGAGTAAGATTACGAGAAGCAGCTTTATTCGAAATCTGTAGAGAAAATTGCTAAGACCAATTCAAAGATTACACCCACTTGAAGTATCCAACAATAATCCTATTACTGACAGATTTTCAACTGAGAAGGTTCCAACCTTCTTGTGAAAATTTTGCCACAGATGATGCACGTGAACCTGAACCTCAGATTCAAGAGCAAGTCGTACAATCAAAGTACCTAAGAGACTGGACCTACGAATTATTTATAATTTTCTTTTGCAACTTATGAAATATTTATAATTTTCTTTTGCAACTTATGAATTTCTTTTGCAACTTATGAATAATTTTATGAATTATTTAAAATTTTCTTTTGTAACTTATGAACTATTTATAATTTTCTTTCGTAAGTTAAATTTTTAAGATAAAAAGTTAACTTAGGTGGAAGGATGTCCAGTTGAACCTCTATCTAATATTACCTGTGTTTGAAGTAATTTAGAAAATTACGTTAAGGCAACAGTGGAAGTTTTTTATATTTACATTTTCAGCTTGTTCTTTTTGTGAGAAAAGGAAAAAAAAAATGGCTTCAAGTTGCATTTCATACATATTTTGAGATATTAATGAGTATTATCTTACACCATTTATATTTTTGAGTGCTGTTTTGAGATGCTGAAGCGAGAGTTGTCACTTATTAGATCTGTAAATAAACTGTTTGTGTTGTAACGAGATGTTTCATTGAATTAATTGATTACACTCATTTCCATTATTAATCCTTCTGATGTTCGAAGGCAAAATGCGACAGGATATGCATATATGCGTATATGCAAACACACGCTACCCAATTTTCTTTACTGATACAGGGCATTAAAACATTAATTATTTATTAAAAAAGAATTGACATAAGAGTGGGAGGGGGTACTGACAGACTCCCCTAAAGACAGAACATTATATTAATAAAAATATTAAAAGATATAAAACATTTTCAAAAATCAACATCACAAATCTAATTTTCTCTCAATTGATCTTCTAACAATCGTCTTAATCCTGAATTTCTTCCAAAATTATTTCCTAAACCTAAAAGATATTTCATGTAATTCAGACACATTTTGTTAACCTTGTTAGTTTCTCAAATTTTTGTGCACTTAAAATTTAAACAATAATGGTGCTAATATGAAAGATAAACAATACAACTTCAGCAGAATTATCACTGAAATAAATTCAAGAGCTTTTATTTATTCCAAGTGCCCAATCAGTTAATTAGGCATGTATAGGACTTAAAATCCTTTTTGAATAATACAGGAATTATAGAATTTTTTTTCAGCATCAGTGAAGCATTGTAATGTGTTAAATAAAAAAATTCAAAATTTATGTTTAAAGTCGCTTTCTACTACTAGGTGAGGAAACAGAACTGTAACTTAATATCAATTAAATTTACCATGTTGTTTTAGATATTGCAAAAGATGTTTCTAGAGATACTGATATTGGGGATCAAGGTAACACAATTTTAAAATTTCGTTTGCTTAAATTCTTTCCTTAGTTTATATTATTATGAAATTTTCAACAGTATAAGTAAGCAAAATGATGCAGAACCTAAAATATGCAAATTTTTAGAATCTGTGAGCCTTGCTAAGAAGGACCAAAACATTAGTATTGCAAACAAAATAACAAATAATCTCAGTATGCATTCTGTTTTCTAACAATATACAAAAAAGAATAAAAAAAGAATTGGCTATAAATCATCAAATATGGTTAATGATGATGATGCTAAACAAAACTTTGAAACCCACTTCACTCAGTTTTACATATCACACAATGAATCATATCACACATATCACACAATGAAGATTTTAGACTTATCCATAGCAAAAACAAATCAAAAGATTAAGGTGATAATGATTCATTTGAACACTGCTAAGATTCATAGTTAAAAATGAGCAGCTGTAAATATTCTAATGATTGAAATATAATGGTGTGGCTTGAGCTGAGGAATTAAATTTTTGTAAAAGATCTCACACGATGTTTTAAACTATATAAATAAAAATAAATTATCAAATACTTTTTGAATACATTATTATTGAACTACAGATAAAGGTAACATTAAGTAATATTAATTACTAATGTTATTTCTACCTGCAGCTCCAGAGCAAAGCCATTTTCAAAACTAAAATTAATAAAATATTAATTGAGATCAACAACATCAAACTTAAGTGTTATACATTTGTCAATGCAATAACAATAGGAAATGATAACAGACACTTTAGACATAAACAGATCTTTTAAAAGATCTGATTAAGAATTCTGCAGCAGTTAAAGAAGGAAGAAATAAATGCAATGAGTGATATATTATGTAAACTAGTCCAAATTTCTATTTTTTTGGTGATAAATATGTGAAAATTGTTTTTTAGGTGATTTATATGCATATATATAGATAGATATAAATGAAAGCTTCTTGGAATAAATTTCAAATTGTAAATTATTTTATTTGATAGAGATGCTGAAATACAACCATGCACAAGGGTGTCTCTTACCTCTGTAGTAGTCCTGACTATAGGACAGAAAAAATGCATCAGTCGTACCAGGTAAGCAAGCTTATCTCAAGCCTTTTTTAAAAACAAATTTCAACTGTTTGTATTTGATCAGGGATGCATCACATCAGAATATCTTTTACACAAAGCGAATGTGTTGGCTTAATGGTTAGTTTTCGTGATTTACCTCATGTGCAATGTAAATACAAACCAGTGTTCTTTAGAAAGTCATTCACAATTGCATCTCATCTCTTAGTCAGATAAGGCCTTGTGTGCTTTGCCATATTCAAATCATCTAACTTAACCAATATGGAAGTACTGATCAATTAAATGAACTATGGAAGAGGGAACAGGTACTTTTGCCGAGATGGATATATGTCTTGATCTGAGACTTTATCAGGGTAAAGGACAGTTTTTATATCATACACTGGGAGATTCAGATGCAGTCAGTGATTCATGTCAGGAAACGAACCCACTGCATACCATGTTTCATAGCTTTAATGTGTTTCACAACTAATAATTTTTACGATACCTTTTTATCGAATGATATTTGTTTCATTTTTTTAAACTAATCTTACTGAGAAAACTTACCACACATCTATTTTTTTAAAATTTCAGTTTAATACATTATTTTGACTGAAAAATGAAACATTTTAAAGAAACATTTATCCTTCCAACATAATTTCGATTCATCCAAATTATTCAACACAGCAATCAATATATTTCAACACCATCTGAGATTTTCACATAAAACTTTCAGAAATATTTAAGATAGCTTGCAGAATACATACCTCTTCAGAACAACCAACTTCGGTAATATGAACACGACCCCTTGCTATACCATTCACAAAAATATTCAGTTGATCTTGGGATTTTTTTTTAATCCTGAAAAAGGGAAAATGAGCTTAGAGCAAACACTATGAACAAGGAATTTTATTTAGCACTTTACACGACAAATGTTAAGCTCGGAAACAGACTTTATACATATAAAGAAGGATCAGATTATTATTTTCACAACCGATAAATTTTCATGTCCAGTAGTTGTCATCATTTGTAACTGATCTATTATTTTTGATACTAAAGTATCCTCTTAAGATGTACATGTTTAGTACCTTCGGCTAATCTTTGGAATATGGTAACAGGTAGTTTGGTGAAATTTTGGTAAGGCGATAAAGGTTACTAGCTAGTACTTTAGCAGTGTACACGGATAAAGTCAAGAGTGTGCGCAATGCCAATTTTGTGCAATTCTGAGATCTTTTTTTTAAGTGAAAATAGGTCGACGTGTACATGGATGATGCCGTGTATGTGCAATTCTTAAAAACGCAGCAAGCAGTTTGTGGTTCTGCACTTTGTCCTAATTTTGCACCTAATCTTCGTCATGATTAAGCATTTTGTTCCATAAAAGTTCTAGCATAAGCATAATTCGGCTAGCAGATTGTTGGAAAAGAATGTTGAGTAAAAGAAAAATGCTTTTACTTCGTGAAAACAAAAACTAGCAGGTTGCTGTAGCAGGGTTGGTTGCCAAATTTTCGCCAAAAAAATTGCCAAGTTACCATAATCCAAAGATTAACCATACCTTCTTTTAGCTAAATGCTGCATGCTAATGGTATTTTAAATAAATGGAAAAAAAATACTTTTTATAGCATCGTCACATAACATATTTGTTCAAGTGTAAAGTGATAAATTGAGAATGATTGTATGCATGAGTATGATTTTAATTACCTTTCATTTCAATCTTAAATATGTATGAGTGTAAGGTTTATGCCAGTGGTTGGCAAATCGTGGCTTGTGAGCCAAATGTGGCTCTTCCACAAAATAGCACGTGCGGGCGTGTTATTTTGTGGGATAGCCAAGCTCACTGTAAAAAAAATCTTTCTTGTTATCATCCTTTTCCTTAGTTGGTACACACACAATAACAATAGAATGGTTCATAAAATTTCTTCTTAGACATAAGAGCACAATCTCAATGAAATGTCTCGAAAATCCATGACCAAATCACTGACTTTTTTGCTAAGGATGAAACCAGTCCCATATAATTTCATGACAGCTATTAAAAAACAGGGTATGTTTTGTCTGCTCCCAAACCCCACTACCAGTCCATCATATTTACTGGATTGTCAATAAGTCTAACCCACAAGAATCCATTTGTTCAATACACATTTGTAGAGTTTTACTCTGATAAAGTGCACACATATTCCAGAATCCAAAAGTTTAGTCCTTTGATCATTTACCAGTCAAATGTTGCAAAGGTGATCCAGTATTTGCTTCTTTAGACTTCATAAGAGGATGTTTTACAAGGTAAAGTTATTAGCCCTACGCCCAACCCCCATCTCAAGAAACAGACCCGTGATATAATGAGCAGGGTACTCGGTTATACCCCTGCACCCTGAGTACCCATTTTAGTCACCTTTTACGACATGCACGAGCTACACTGGGTCTATTCTTTCAATCCTGCACACTATACGGATGTTTACATAACATATGTAATGCATAAACCACTTATGATTAAATAAAGTCAATATTTTTTTTAAATTTCCTCTAATTTACATGAATTACACTGAAAAATCAAGCAAGAAATGAAGACTACACATTACAAAACAAAATAACTATTGCTTTCTTAATTCTCATACAATTAAAATACTATTTGCACATTTCCATCAGCATACAGAGGAAAAAGTTTAAGTTATCGGTATTTAAGTTAAAATATACCTAAATTTCATTTCATTTCACAGAATATTTTAATGAATGGACGGTTTTCTGTGATTAACCAATTTCTAAACAGCTTGTCTCTATTCTTGGTTTGCTGGGATTTTTTAGAATGTACAACTAAAAAATTTGACTGTTAACAGCTATTACTACTATTTTCGTGTTCTATACTCAGTCTATTCATACTCCATATAATATATATTTTCCATACAAAATAGCCAGTAGCTGATCTGGAAGATATACATAGTAGGCATGGTAACTCTTTTCAAATATTTTCTCCAAAGAAATCGACAAAATATTTAAATGTGAATTTTATAAACTGAACTACAAACATATTTCTCTTCTGAAAAGAAAACTTTTAACTCACTTCCAGAAGTACAAATGAATTTGTGGAAATAATTGTTTTTGAATTAAGCAAAACTCTACATGTATTGTGTTTCAAAAGTGTATATCTCTTGAATAGTCATGGACCTGAGGCTTCAGTTTCAGAAATAAACCTGAGATTTTAAACTAGAATAATTTTGACAATATTTTGGCTTAAGAAAATAATTTACATACTTTTAAATGATTAGAAAAATTGGAAGATTTCCTATGCAGACATATTTCATTTGCCATCTCTTCAAATTTGAAAATGTACTCTTGAAAGCAATATTAAAAAATTGTATGCCATAGCAATTCACTTCATACCAGTAGTACTTCATACCTAGTAGACGCAATTTCGCGTCTACTAGTTAGTTTTAATTTATGAATACAAAAACTACTTTCATTCAAGTTTCGGTACGTATCAACATCTTCTATTCTTTTCCATTTAATTTATATAGTACATCAAAAAATATTCTTAATTTAAATAAATGTACATGTATTTTTCAAGTTTTAGAAAAGAAGGGGAAATCATTGTCTAGCAATGGGCAAAGGGATGTGCATGGGGCAAAAAAGGGTGAGAACTAAATAGAGATTAACTAACTAAACTGTTAAAACTAAATAAAAATACATCAGAAACAATTGCTAATACTTACACTGCTTTATAAGGTTTACTGGACTCTCTTATGGTATCATAGTGAGTGTCACAACCTTCTTTGTTTATATATATTTGAGATAGGGTGGATTTCTCTGCAGGTAGTTCTTTTACAGAATTACTACTTTTCTCTAATGCAGTTCCAAAATAGATCTTACATTTCTTTCCTCCTAGATGTCTTTCCTCCTCTTTTGAGTGCAATCCAATATCCTGCATTAAAATTTAAACAAAATAACATATTACAGTTAAAAAAAATAAAAATTTCTTTTGCATTTTTGATAAATACGTAAAAATGCCTTTTCGAATCAAAAATCAATACCTCGATAATAGCAAACTTAAGAATTTTATTAATTGTAAAATGAGGCAATAATTAAAATCTCTGATGCATGGGTAACAAGTGTTGTAAAAATGATGTTATATGCTTATTTTTACTATGGAGAATATGAAATGAATCTATTTTGCTAAGACTCCTGCCATGAATTGCTACATATGGAAAGATAGTATAAAATAACATTACATACATGGGGAAGAAAATATACATACAGCCAGAACTGCATAAGGAGCAAAATTAACATTGTTCAGTGGTCTTAATCCCTATGCTGCAGGCAAGCAATTATAGCAAAAACTTTAATTCTACATAACAGTACACATAAAATGCTCTCTGATCTGTTAAATAAATATCAGAAAGTTGAGCAAAAACGTCAGAATTAGTGAAGAATGTATAAACTCAAAAGCATTTGCAGTACCATGAAACCACATGCTAAAAAATGTCAGCACACATATGTATTTTATTGAAACTTATTTTCACTATAATTTGCATAATGACCAAACACAGTGAAGATTCAAAACCAAGTGGATAAATATTGTAGGCATATGACATTTACAACTAGATTCTTATAACATTATAATTAATCAGTTTATCAATATATATAGAGAGTACTTGTAACAAAGAACCTGATACACCTGAAAAAACATCTTAAAAGCCTGACGACATATTAACTTTTAGTTTCTATGCAGTTGCAAGACTAAGAACAAAGTACAATTGCAACTCATATTTTCAGATGTAACTATTAAAGTTAAAGAGTTTTGACAGAAATTGTATGCAAGAGCTATTGAGTTTCACAAATTCTATATTCTTGGAAAATAATTCAACAAAACAATGTGCAAATCTTTTGGAAAAACAAAACTGCTGCAAATGGACATTTTTTAGATCTATGCTACATACCTTTAAGCATAATTTCAGTCTCTTTTTTAATGGATTGCAATGAACTACTTCACAAGTTACAGTTTGTCCTTCAAAAAACACCGAGGATTTAGGAATAAGATGAGATGAAACCATTCCCTAAAATAATAAATAAATGTTATATCAAAGCAGTTTCACAGAAAATTGTAATTAATAATTGCACAAAAACATTTTTGTATACTAACATAAAAATAATAATTTTATAGCTATGCAGACAAAATTACAGGATCAAAAAAACAAATGCATTGAACTTCATATCCTCATACATATCTAAACAATAAAATCTTAACTTATGCATTTTTCCATTTTATTTACATTCATCATTTATATTTAATTTTATTCTATTTTACATTTATCATTCATTTTTTATATCCATTTCATTCAGATTAAAAATATATAGAGGGTATAGTACAAAGCAGCATACAATGAAAATGTACATATTTCATATGTTTATGCAATCACATTTTAAGAATAAGTCTCAATTAAATTTCATGCACTTTTTTAGTGGGGAGGCAGGTGGGCTCTTTGCAATGTGTTTATAATCAGTGTCAATAATACACGTAATTTTCTTCAGGTTTTTTTTTTAAAACAAAGGGAAAATATTTCATATTAATAAATCTTTTCTATTTTAATCCACTGTTTCATATAGTACATTATAATATTTAAATAATAACATAGAAAAGACTCTCCCCCAACTACCTCAACCATTCAGGGTTGGCAGCCACATTTTAGTTAAAAAAATAAGCACTTATAAGCACTTTTCAAGCACATTTTAAGGAAAAAAGTAAGCACCTGTCTATTACACTATACACAACTGCATAACCTTAAAAGAAAAATTACAATTCTAATTTAAAATATGGGAAATTCAGTATTTATTAAGAGAGAATGAGCATTACAATTACATTCTTTTTTATTTTATTTTAAATAACAGTTCAATTTACAGAACTAGTTTACAATGAGATGGAGGAAAACTATGCAGAACTAAATTATATTACAAGATTTAATGATGAAATTTCAGTTCAAAATAGAGAAAATAAATAATAATAAGTCATATTTATTATATTTGCTTGGCACCTAAAAATAAATACAATTTATTTTTCCACTCATATTAATATTTAAATAATTTAAATCAAAATTCTGACCATTTTCTAAATTTTTATTGTATAACAGTTTTCCCTTAACAGATATTGCAAGCAGAGTAATTTAAGTAAAAATAAGTAAAAAGAGGAACATTTCTGAAATCAGAAGACGGGAAATTGTTTCATGCAGTCATCAGTTTATTGTATAACAGTTTTCCCTTAACAGATATTGCAAGCAGAGTAATTTAAGTAAAAATAAGTAAAAAGAGGAACATTTCTGAAATCAGAAGATGGGCAATTGCTTCATGCAGTCATCCTTTAACAGTAGGAGCTTAACTAACCGGCACACTCGGAAATTGCCGAATATATGAAAATTCCAGATAGTTGAGCGTAACAGGAAAAATAGGAGCAAGGGGGGGGATTGTAGTTGTTCTTTAGATTTTTCGGTGAAAAAATGCTTTTGACATTTTGATATGTGCATCACATAAAAATGGCCCAACGAAACTGAAAAATATTCTGCTTAGCAAGCACAGTAAAACTCTTTCATAGTTCTTCAAAAAGTGCTCATAAACAAATATCAGACTGAACATCAAAATTAAGTATCGGTGGAAAATATCGCAAATGTTATTGCACAATTTGCGCACCTTATTTCTTCCATGCCTGATATTATGCAATCAGAATCAACAGCAGCTGGTATTCAGAGAATAAAGAACTAAATAAAAGAAGAGACTTAACAATCTGGGGTGTTTTTCATTCTAATTTTGAACAGCCTGCGTTAAATTTCCGGTATAGGGGGGGGGAATTCTGTTGCTTGTTTTGCTGTGAACTGTAACCATTTTAATATTCAAGATTTTGCGAAGAAAGCGGAGGACTCCTCTCCCCAACTTTCCTACCGTGTAATGCACTGGGGGAAAAATTAAACTAATTTGATTATTCAATTACTTTATTTAAGCTATTCCAAATATTATTCCTTAGAAAGCTAATCTGTGTTACACACTTACCCATTTTTTAAGTTTATATATACTTCGGTATAGTTTATAATAGTATAGTAAATCTATACTATACTATTATGATCATATGTTTGAATATTTATAATGATATATTTGCATATATATACTATATCATATATATACAAATATATCATTATAAATATTCAAACATATACTCATAATATAAGCATAACGATCATAAATATGAACTGACCATGCGGAACGAGAATGCAAATTATTAAAATCTTGATAGAAATGTAAACGTATGTAGTCTTGGGTGGGAGGAAAACAATATGGAATGTACCGGAATTTTCTACCGCTTTTGCAATTCCTTGACCAAAGGACGACGTGCACCTGTACTCTTTGCATCAAAGGTTACATTAATGCAGAGAAAGGGGGGGAAAGCTATTTCCAGGAGTATGATTCACCATCTGACGTTCGAGATAAAAAAGAAAAGTGTTTTTTAGTTTCAGCTTTGGTATGGGGAAAAATGTGCTTAAAAAAAAAAAATAATAAAAAAAAAAAAACAGTAACAGCAAAAAAATAAGCACAAAAAAATTAAGTGCTTTAGAGCAAAAGTAAACACCTATAAGGGCCTTTATATTTTATTCTCAAATATAAGGACTTATGAGCACTTGTAAGGACTGCTATGAACCCTGTCATTGTTCTTTTTTAAACCAATCTAATCTTAACTTGCAGTTACTTCCACCTATAAAAACAATTACATGCTTCTCCTTTAGGGAAAAAATTGATTCATTTCACGACTTCTTTTAGAAAAAAAGGTGCGAAATCTTTGCTAGAATGCAGTCCCATAGACAAGGGACTTTTCAAGAATGAGGAACTTACATTAACTTTGGCTGTCTGCTGTAATAAATCTACCCAGAGTGACCGTACACAGGAACCCAATACAAAATGCTTCAACTTCCAGAGTTCAGGCCCTCTCTGTTTGGTTCATTTAAATATGACAAAGCTCTGTTTGATTTATTTAAATATAACAAAGCACTTGGAGGCTATCAGCCTAAGGTATGAAATGTTTTCGCCAAGGATTTCAAGACAACTGGCTCATATCTACACTGCACATGGAAAAAACTACGACACACTCATGGAGCTAGCGCATTCGCCTAGAACAGAACCCAGGTTAGAGCATTGAGTGTTCAGTGGCTTCTCCATTCAGCTACTGATGGGCCATCTATGATCAAAATAAGTTTAATTAATCCCATGCATTTAGATTTTATTTATTTGTATATTTTGATGGTTTAAGTAAGAAAATACCACAAATACTATTTATAAGGCCCATAAAATCAATCAAGAGAAAATGCATAACATATAAACAGCTCTATAATGTTTAGAAAATACAAAATCTGTAAACACGAATAGAAAAAAAAAAAAAAAAAATTATGCAGTATAGAGTCTGAAATCTGGATGCAAAATATCCAGATCACCAATCCAATAAGTAAATAAATATTCTCTGCCATATAACAAAATTCGATCTTTACTTATTTTCATAAAACAAAATATAAACAAGTTAAAACGTATCTTCAAGCATTCATTACATACCGTAATTTCCGGAAGAAAGGCCGCATCAGTGTAAACGCCGCACTCGAGAAAATTGGCGGGAAAAAAATTAAAATTACACAGAAACGCCGCAATAGATTAAATTGCACGTCACATCATCGTGGGCCGTATAGATGAAAAAACTCAACCTAAGTCCTGATATATGACATACCAGTTAAGTTTTTAATAATGAACTATAAATAATATTTTTAATTATCGATGTATTGTTTTTTAAAAGATTTACAAGTCTTAAGCTTGCGTTCTGTTGTGTTAAATATATTCTCTTCATCTTAAATCTTCTGAAGTTTAAATAGATAAACGCGGATTATAAAGGTAAATTGTCTATTTGCCCTCTATCAGCAAGCCGAAAAAACTGCCTAATATTTCCCTTAAGTAACCGTAGAAATTAAGGCAATCCACCTTAGCAATTTTTTGAACTTCCAAATGTAAGCAAACATATAGTCCACTGCCGTTGCATTCCTCAGAAAACCATTCTAACTCCCCTACTCCCCTATGAAAATAATAGAATCGTCTCTCTCGTAGGCTGCCGTTTTGGGATGTAGACGCTAGTCTTAAAAACTATCCAACAAGTACTTGTACCCAAACTGATGGGATCTGTATCTGGCAGAATGCCAAAAAAAATCCATTCATGCTGAAGGGGAAATACGTCAGAGTTCGTTATTGCGAGGCAGGTGGAGTCGTGTCCGCCTTTGAAAAAAATTGCAGAAAAGGCAGGGGTGGGGAGAGGATGGGTCCCGGAAGATTCATCGAATGGCAGAGGAGAGAGACTATTCGAACTGATGAGAATGTTGATTTGAAAGGGGGAAGAATGTTATTGTTCTGAGATCTCGTTTAGGGTGAATAAGGCATGTAGGTCCGTTCAAGGGAAAAAATGTAAACAAAATAACGTTCGCAAAAAGCAACTGAGTGGTCTTTTGTGCGGGAACAGCACCAGTGTATGCACAATGACCATCATAGAAAATATTTTATTTTTAGCGCACCTAAATGCCGCATGGGTAGAAATGTCGCACCCGCTGAAAATTTAAGTTTTAAACACGTAAACACCGCGGCGTTTCTCCCGGAAATTATGATAAATTTATTCACATACTGCTGTAGAAAATACTATTTTCTTTTACATTTCTTAACCAAAATCATAGAAGTGGAAATCATGGCATGGCTGCTAAGTGTATGAAACAAATTAAAAAGTATTCTCAAGCTTTATTTACATAAATTTGTTTCAAATTTGGAATTTATTCACATACTGCTGTAGACAATACTATTTTCTTTTACATTTCTTAACCAAAATCATAGAAGTGGAAATCACGGCATGGCTGCTAAGTGTATGCACTAGAAGTCACAAAAATATGATGCACAAAACTTATAAAATATTTATAACATTAAAAAATATAGTTAGATGAAAATTTCCTAACCTTCACATTATTGAAAAATAAGACAATAATATACTTGTCTGTAATCTGCACAATAACACCTTTATAATGTTTGCCTTCATGAGCATCTTCATATGACTGCAGAATCTCATCTTTTGGCAGATTTACAAGACTGCTTTTACAGGTCAAATAAAGCACAGAAGTATTATCTGTATATACAACCTAAAAGAAAGAATGGGAATGAACCATATTACTTATGGGAACATCAGAAACTTCTATGTAGCTTATGTTATTAACTCCTCAAGAAACCCCGAACAGTTAACAATGAAAATATACAGAAATACCTTATTTATTTATTATTTTCAGTAGAACCACATTCCATCTAATATAATACAAGCAAAAAGAGGTTAGTTTAATGAGGTTTAACTAATCACATTAATTTCTTTATTGTTGGCATTACACTGAGCATGATGTAGGGTATAATTTCTAATTATATTAATGAAATATTTGTGATCTTTGTCCTTAATATGATTTCTTGTCCAATATCTGTTATATTTTGGTACCGTATGATTTTATTTCTTTACAGCTCAGTCAGCTGGTATTCTGGCTAAATAGCAGAATATATTACAATATGATTGCCAGAAACTTAATGAAATGTGTATCTGGGTAATAATTTTTCCTAGCATTGCAAATCAAAATTTTATAACCTGACATACTTATTGAAATTCACACTGCAATATTGCACAGCAGTATTGTAATAAGGTAGTAACTTAAAACTAGTTATGTCAATAGCACAACATTCCTAGAAATGAAATAATTTATGTACCATAAATATGCTTTGCACTCCATGATAAGTCTTGACATTTACTCGTGAATATGACATTCTTATTTTGCATATTTCTATGATATATAATATACTGGTAGGCATCTGAAATGCAATATCGCTTAGGAAGTACGCCAAAGGAAAGGTATGCTTGGTGTACCATGTACAAATCTTGATACAGCATGCAAAAGATTACTATTGCAGCACACATGAAAACAGTAGGTGCAGTAATGACACATACAAAAACTATAAAAAGGTATAAACAGTAGGTTAAATATTAGAATTCTGGCCTTTTTCCAATGCTTCTCTGCATGAGCAGCTTCAGTGTCACTCATTGGGAAAAATGAATGCCATTTGAGAAGATTCTGATTTTCACTTAGAAAGAGCATAGCTTATAGAGAATGCAGATTATCATTCATAGAAACTGGTGCTCCTCTTTAATCCGTTCAGGACCAGCATCGTGTATATGCGATGCAACGATTCCACTCCTAACAGTCCAGCATCCTGTATACATGACGCAACAATTGTGCTCCTACGAGCCCACGTCGCATACATATGACACGGAAATGGAACGATTTATTTGAATTTTTAAAAGCCAGTAAATGGAGCTAAGAGGTAATTGTTGTCACATGGATTTATTCATACAGCATTTGCTCTTCATGTACTGGCATTAGTTTCTGTTTTGTGCTTCTGGTTGTGAAAAATTTATTGAAATAAACAAACTGGAAATCATGGCTCTTTATAAGTATGCCTGTGAATTAAAGGGGCACAGGCATTTTTGTCTATTTTGTTAAGAATTTTTTTTTGTTTTGTTTTTCCATTTATTTTGAAACTTAACATAAGTTTTCTTGGTTAATTAAAAAGTAACAACATTATTACAGAAGAGGAAAGACTGTCAGCATTCTTGACGCGTAATGCGTCTTGCTCGCATTTTTCAGGCAAGAGGTCATTATATATGATACAGGCGTTATATTTTGGTATACAATGTATTTACTTTTAAATAATGTAATTATATATACAGTACTATGTCCGTAATCTGGACGTCCATTATCCGCAATGATCTATAATCCGGACCTCAAAGCCACAAACTTACGCATGCACGAAACGCGTTTATGCATGTGCATTTGATGCGCACTTCCACTTCGCATGCGCGTAAAGCATTTACCCATGTGCACTTCCAACGGTGAAGAAAGTAACAGAGAACGTTATTGAAAACAAAAAAATTTCGTTTGACAAGTTAGTCGGTGTTCTCGACACAGCAATTATAGGATTTGAACAGTGGAACTTTGTAACTGAACAAGAAATCATGTCTGTTTATAGAATTAAAAAGAAAGTATTAGCACAAAAAACAAAGTAACTTAAACAACTTACATTGATAGAAATGTTTACTAAATAAATAAATAAATATTAAGCTTTCTTTTTTTTTTGTAAATTTTGATACATTTTATTTAGATCATAATTGCTCTTTATTTCATAAATTACAGTTTCATATTTTTAATTGTATAATTTCTGCATGCCATCTTACCAGATTTAAATTGATGATCTATAATCCGGAAAAACCCCTAATCCGGAATCGCCGAAGTCCTGACAAGTCTGGATTACGGACTTTGTACTGTAATGTATATCTTGACGTGATCAGTAATGGATATCCCACCAGTGGGGGGGGGTCTTTCCTTGATCGCTTTCCGGTCATCATGGACATTGTATTCGATTTAGAAAAACAAGAAGTTATCTAATATAAATCTGATGTCACACAGGGTTTGAGGATGAAATATTTCTGAGTGTCTTTTGAAGAAGTTTTGGGACATGTGTCGGGGTTATATTTAATTTCATTCCGTTAGCCATGGCTAAGAGACTTTACTTAAAAACTTAAAAATTTGTCAAAAATCACCGGACACTATACCTTTCCATCTAAGTGGAAGACAGTTTCTGAAAATTTACTTTGACGGAAAAGTAATAAAGGTAGGAGAAATGCATTGTGTGCCCGAAAAGCGAAAGCAAACGACGTATTTTGAGTGCGAAATATACAATATAGGACTGTGCATCGATCCTTGTTTTGAGTTATTTCACACACAGCAGAATTTTTAAACTGGAATTTAATTACCTACAGGTAATTGTTTTTTTTTTTTTTAATTTCATTTTTTTAGTTTTATTTATATATTTATTTCTGCATGTATAGTTATGATTTTAGTATTTTGCCTGTTTAATTTATTTCTATTAATGTCATATTCTTTATATTAATACCCATTAAAAACTAGTACATTAAATACGCAACTTCAAAAATTGAAGTCATAATATCAAAATGCTGATTTTATACGATTTTTTTTGTAAAACTAGGCTTAACTGCTGAAAATGCACAGGCTGCTAGCGACGATCCATTTCCGTGGGACCGGTCCCGTGACTGTGATGTCAATATTGAATATGAGGACACAGAGGGAATACATCAATTGACAGAAATGAAAAAATATACCTTGTCAAACCCCCTAATAGAAAACGGGCATGTTCTGAAACCAAAATAGTAAATTTATGTCAAGAGCTAGAGTTCTGTTTAAATATAAATATGAAACTCACAGTAAATTCACAGAGTATATGGTAATTTGTACAAGGCCAGTACTAAACCAGTTATGCCTGAAAAAATAACAGAACTGTTGCTGAAGCAGATAACTCCTTTTTGCAGTTACTTCATTAGAGACGGGAACATCAAGATAAATTTTATGTTAGGAACATTCTTGGGAAAGAACTGGGCACTGAAGGGCCATTTGACAGTAAACTATGTGAACCATGTGTTTAAGGTGAAGCACACAATTTATCGCTTGGCACAAGAAAAATCCTGCAAGACCAGTGAATTTATTTCAGCTGACATTTGAGAGCCTTTCACTGATGCTTTCCAGAAGATAGTTACATTTAAAGACAGCTATACAAAATTCAGTATAGATATTTTATCACGGAAAATCTGAAACTGCGAATATATTAAGGCATTTCTCTTTGTACATGCTAGGACCTTGGGCCATTCAATTGAAGAATTTCATAGTGAAAATAGATGCGAGTTTTACACAAACAGGTATGCAACTTTGCATTCTGAAAGAATCGCTCAAAGACTTAACCTTCTATCAAAATTTTTCTAGTGAACAAGATATGCACAAAATAATCAAAATTGGTAGAACATTTAGGAGCCATATTCAGAAGTTCATTTTTCTGCATCATGGACTGAATTAATTACCACTGCCTTATATATCTATACTAAACAGAACTGGAAAATCCTTATTTTTCATAAGTTCTCCAATAGACTCATACAATAGCTCATTCAGAAAGAGGTCATACAAGATATAGATTAAAGAAAAAAAAGGAACGAAGTTTAAGTAGACTATCTTTACATAATAAGTTACGTTTATTATGCCCATATTCTTATAAAAAGAAAAGAATTAGATATTAAAGCTATAAAGGCTTATTTAATTTGATATGACGGAGATGAGAATTACCAACTGAAATGAATAGCTGTCTCAGGATTAAAAAAATCCATCTTCATTGACTTGAAGTGTATATTTTATGTTAATCTTTTACCCGTAATAAACTTTTAACTCTTTAAATGAATAAAATTAGATGACATGGTGACTTAAGAAAAAGAACACTACTAGTTTATTTTTAATCAAATCAAATATAAAAATCTATCAGATGTTGCTGCGTAACAATTCTATGTTGCCATATTATAAAAATTAAAATGTACAGAAATTAAAAATAAGATGAGGAAACATAGAGGGCGCTACACACTCAGTAATTCCCAGTGAAAACGATTATGAGACATAATCCTTTAAATGGGCAGAAACCTGATGGTCCTTCCACTGCATGTGGTATAGTTGTAATTGACTGACAGTGAAATTATCCCCCAAGGTTCGCATTGTGTGTGTGGATTTGTATAATCCATGTGCCTGTAGGTTTCAAGAGGCTACTCATCTTTGTCTTTTATGGCAAAACATGGTTTCAGTCTACCAATTGAAATTCTTTTGACAGTTCCGTTATATTCATAGTTAAAATACTTTGGTGCTCGGTGTTTGACAACATAAGGCCCAAGATAAACTGTTACAAAGATGATGTTGCCTTATTATTGTAGACGAAAATATGTGAGCAATTCCAATGGTGTTTTGAAATGAATATGTTTGTATTGTCATGGGCAGTCATTGCAAAAGATTTCATGTTACAGATAATACTTTGTAGCCTTCGCATGAACTCTGTGTGTGACATTAGAGATTGTGGTGATGAATTCTCTGGGTAAACAGAGGGGACTTCTGTAAAGAAGCTCGGCTGAAGAGTATCCTATATCTTCTTTAAGTTCAGAGCGTAATCCGAGAAGAACCAGAGGTAAAATGTCTATCCAAGATTCGCTTTGTTGTAAACGACATTTCAGGTTTGCATTTATAATCCTGTGTTGTCGCTCAATCAATCCATTGGATTGTGGATGGCATGCTGCTGTTCTGGATTTTTGAAAACTGAAGTATTTGTTCAAAAATGAGAAGAGTTGACTTTCAAACTGACATCCTTGATCGGACATAATACGTTGTGGTATTCAAAAACGAGTAATCCAGGTTGAAGTCAACCCCTTTGCAACTGTTTCTGCTGATTGATATGCCATACAAAGAGCTTAAACCCATCTTGAAAAATATTCAGCCATTGTTAGTAAGTATCTGAAACCCTCACATGAAGGCAATATCAATGTGAATGCGTTAAAAGTGTTCAGGTGGAACCTTGAAGTCCATAAGAGCTGACTTGGTATGTCTTTGAACCTTAGATCGTTGGCATTCCATGCATTCCCTACACCATAACTGACAATTTTTATTGGTATTTGGCCATATGAATCTTTTCATGATTAATTTTCTTGTGCTTCAAATTCCTGTATGATAGGGTATGAACAGAAGAAAATATTTGTCAGCAAAAGTTTGAGGGGATGTATGTGTGGTTACTGTTGGTGGAGACATCACAATTAATTTGTCGGTGCCTGAAATGGGAATCTGAAATGTTCTCAGCCTTGGGTTGTTTTTTAAAATTGTTAATTCTTTATCATCTTGAAATTCTGCAATAGTTGCATAATCAATTAGAGATGGTATTAAATCTGGAAAGAGCATTTCCAACAAAGTTTTCTTCTCCCTTGACGATAACAATATAACTCAATTATCTTGCTTCTTTGGGAGAGACTTTGTCTAAATTTTGTTGGAAAGTGAAGGCGATAGGTTTGTGGTCCATATAAATGTTGAAAGACCTTCCCTCTAATAAGTGCCTAAAATGCTTCATTGTAGCGTAGATGGACAAGAGCTCTCGATCATATGCACTGCACTTTCCTTGTGTGCCAATTATGGTGCATGAGAATAAACTTAATGGAAGGATCTCTTTATGATTCATTTGACGAATGACAGCCCTGATAGATATACCTGAAGCATTGCACGCAAGAGATATAGTAACATCAGTTGAGGGATGAACCAGCATAGTGGCATGACAAAGTGCATTTTTGAGGTTTTTGAATGCATTGCAAGAATCTTCGGTCCACATTAACGATATTTTACTATTTTTGCATCTTCCACTAAGTAATGAGGTTAGAGGTTGTTGAAGCTTGGCACACTTTGGTGGAAGCGGTGATAAAAATTGATCATCGCTAAGAACCTGCACAAACTGGTGGATGATGTGGGTTCGGGTATGTTTTGTATGGAATAACTTTCGTCGGAAGAGGTCTTATTTCTTCAGTTGTGATTTTATACCCCAAATGATTAAGTTTAGAAGTGCCAAATATATATTTTGCAACATTAATGCATAAGCCATAGTCGTTTAACCTTTGAAAAACTGTCTGTAAGTCCTTACGGTGTGACTCTTCGTCTGGAGAAGTCATTAGTATGTCATCTAAATAGCAGAATAATAACTCTAATCCTGAAAATACCATATTCATACCATTTTCATGAATCGCTGAAATGTCTGTGCCGCATTGCGTAAACCAAATGCCATAAATGATAATTCAAACAGCCCAAAAGAAGCCACTTTATAAAAACTAAAAATTCATAATAATAAATTTTATAAGTAAGTTTGAAAACTTAAAATTTTCACAAAAATTCATAAAAGGTGGAAGATATGCACTATTCTTAAATTCAGAATCTCTCCCTCCCCTTTTTAAAACGTCCTATTCATGTCTTTTATTCACGCCTTTGATGAATTTTCTAATTCATTGATAAAAGTGGAGGGAATCATGATAAATTTTATGAAAATGGTCCACAAATCTTCACTTTCTCCACAGCATGTTGAAGCACAGTTGTAAGCTCAAGGTTCAAAGGCTATAAAACTTTCTCCCCAATGTTTGATAAATAACTAAAAAGGCATCCCAAAAATTTCACTGTGCGATGGCTGATTGTTTACTTACAAGGCTAATTTGTGCTCACCCCATTATGAGCCTTGTCGTTTAAACTTCATATTCACCTAAAATGACACTCAAAATGGTTGTTTCTAAGTGTCATTTTAGGTGTCATTTCAGTCATAGAAAAGTAATATAAATGTCAAATAAGCAAAATTAAAGACCATTGGCTAGTTTAGAACTAAATTATACAGTTTTATGGACCAAAAATCATTTTAAAAGAGACCTCATGATTTTTAAGGACTACACAAACCTGTTATAAGACACTAATTTTTTTATGTTCTATAATTTCAATCATGTTACTTTATTATTTTGCACTGTTTGCCCTGTAAATCTGATTCTGACAGCTTTTGTTGCTGATGATATGCATTATGTATGGCCAGTGGAGTACTATATTCATATATTTCTGCTTTCTGTCATTTAAATTAATATTACTATCTAATACCATTATTTAGTTCCACAATACAGTTTCAAAGAAAATGATGGAGGCAGTGTATGAATAATAAATATTCTGCAGAATGCTTAAGACTCAAGAGAGGTAAAATGCAAATAAATCATTTATAAAGTAGCAGAAAACTAACTCACCCTACATATTAATTTTGATCCTACAGGAAATAATTTTTCAGGTTTCGTTACATAAACATCAGACATGTGTACATAACGTATGTATCCATTTAAACCAGGAGAGACAAAAGCAATCATTCCACCTTCAAGATGCCTTTTCACTGTAGCCTATACAAAAATGGTAAAAACATATGCATAACAAACAATAATAATTCTCTTAAGCTGTACAATTTAAGGATCTGAAACTTTAAAAACATTTACAATAATGAAAGGTCACACATTTATTTTCCTTACTTCAAAAACATCCCCTATTTTGATTTCCTCTATTCGTTTTATATCTATATCAGTTATATACCTAAAATAAATTGAAACTTTAAAATACATAGGAACAGCCAAAACTTTTAATATTTTCTAACATACTAAAAATCAATATATATACAGTGGTGGCCAAAATTGTGAACACTTTTGGAAATTTTTATGTTTTTGAACTTTGTATGCTTACAGAAAACGTTACGTTTCACAAAATGCAAACTTGTATATATGATTTTAAAGAGAATTTATTACTGAATTCAATACAAAACACAAAATTCAATTGTTTGCAATACAAAAAAGTTAAACGATAATAGTTATCGATATACATTAGATAGTGATGATTGCAGTGAGTTATCAGTACCTAGTAGGGTACCCTTTATTTTTTATTACAGCTTCACATAGACGTTTCATTGAGCTGACAAGAGTTTTAAGCACTTCTTTCATTATTACATGATGCCAGGAAACAATTATAGCCTCAATTAGATCCCTTTTATTTGATGGGCGCCTCATTCGGACAAGAGTTTTCAAACAGTGCCACAAATTTTTGATAGGATTGAGGTCAGGACTGTTTCCTGGCCACGACAACAATTTAATGGTCTTTGTACGAAACCACTCTTTCGATATTTTGGCCATGTGGCAAGCAGAATCCTGCTGAAAAATAAATGAAACGTTGTTGGGAAAGAGATCTCTGATGGAAGGTAGAAGTTTTGGTTCTAGAATAGTGTCAATGTATTTTCTGGCATTCAGTGTCCCATTGATGACATGAAGGCGAATAATACCATCTGCTGACATGCATGACCAAATCATAACACTAACTGGGTTCTTCACGCTTGCTTGAATGCAGTCAGGATGTAGCTCTTCTCCTATTCTACGTCTTACATATTTTCGTCCTTCACTACTGAATGACGATATCTTAGTTTCATCACTCCATATAACTTGTGACCACTGATCATCTGTCCAATTAAAGTGTTTCTTTGCCCACTGTAGTCTTTTTTTCATTGCTGAAAATTAAGATACGGCTTTTTTCGTGGAATTCTACCTCTCAGTCCAACATCTGTTAATCTTCTCCTGATTGTTCTTGAACTGACAGAAACACCAGCATTATTCAGATCACTTCTGATGGCTGCTGAGGACATTTTTCTATCTTGGAAACATAGTCTTTTTATTCTTCTGTCATCAATAGATGTGGTGCACTTTTTTCGGCCTTTTCCTTCTTTGTCTCCTGATATCGTAAACAAAACTTTTAGACTCCAGATATAGTCACTGAACCACCCTGTCTTGCAATTTCAGGATAGGAAAGACCACTTTCTCGTAACACAATAATATTACATCTCTTTCTAGGTGTGCAATCTACTCTTTTATTTGATGCCATTGCTTTTTGACTAAGTATTAAAAATTTTTACAAAAATTCCTACTTGTAATTGAAGTGTATAAGAAACAGGTCATCCTTCTACAGAACAAAGCAAAATAATGAATTGTTTCAAGTGTAAACATGATGTCAGCTTCTACTGGCAGTTATTCACATTTGATTGGTTCTCAGAACAAGAACAGTGATTGGCCAGGAAAGCTAGACATTACAAACCACTACATAACTGTGTTTTTTATTTATATTAAAGTACATATAACTTTTTTGTATTGCAAATAATTAAATTTTGTGTTTTGTATTGAATTCAGTAATAAATTCTCTTTAAAATGATATATACAAGTTTGCATTTTGCGAAACGTAACATTTTCTATAAGCATACAAAGCTCAAAAACAAAAAAAATTTCCAAAAGTGTCTACAATTTTGGTCATCACTATATATGAGTATCTGTTTAATAAAAATAGGTACTTACGGTTTCAATGACAGCTGTACAAGATTGTCAATATAATGCAAGAAAACTGCACGAGCTCTGAAAGCAAAAGAAAAAATTCCAGACCTAAATTACATACTCTTTTAATTAGGAGTTTATAAAAAAATTATGTTTCAATAAATGAGTGTTAAAGGGGAAAAAAGGCTGCTGTAGATTTCAATGAGCACATTAATCATGTTCATGACAATAAAAAGATTCAGTTATGTATTAAATACTTCTAATAAAATCTAAATTATATTTAACACATAAAATAATATAGGTGTGCCATGTTACAACATATAAAGGGAAAAAAACTGATACAAAAAATACTTAATTTTTCAAAACAGAATTTTATTTTTATGATATTAACAATAAATATTTTACTATATTATATATCACTTAACATTTTACTCATATTGAAGTTTTACATTACTTTAACGCTAAAAATGCTTCGTGATATTACTTTAACAGTAACTGCACACAACTACATTAAAATACCTTAATACATTAAAATATGAAATTTATAAAAATGTAGTACAAAACAAAGTTTTAAAATCTATATATACTCTACATGCATTTTTTGAGCTTAACCTTCCAGCACGCGAGCTCGGCAATTTTATATGAGCACGTGCGTGTCATACTTTTTACGACATCCGTTATTTTATTGTTTTTGCCACGAAAAAAAAACAGAAATGAGTGAATATTGATAATAAATTTGTTAAGAAATAAGATATTAATCTTATTATTGCAAAATACATTCAAATATAAGTAAATTATTTTAAAGTTCTTAGTGAGATGGAAATGGATGATTGTATTCATTATAGTTTTAATTGTTAGTATGATTATATTTATTTAATCGAAAATTTAATATTCATCAAAGATAAGTATAGACAAAAGGAAAAAAACGGTAGGGAAAAAAGGTAGGGTAAGTTTAGCAATACTTACTTCTGCAAGGAAATTTACTTCTTACTATTTACAAAAATGCACTTTAAACCTAATTTAATGTTTTTATTTATTTCTAAAAAATAGAAATAAAAGAAATAAGGAATGGAAATCGCTATTGTTCTCCCACCCAAAGATTTCCTTGTCTTGCTTTTCTTCATCAGATAATTCCTGAAGATTACGAGCAAAATCAGCTGTTTGCACATATGTTTTTGCCATGAAAACTGATATAAAATTTACAGAGCCAAATTTATTCAAATTAAAATAATACACGGCAATTAATAACACAAAATTAGAAAATATTTGAGGAAAAAATATTTTCCAAATTTTTAAAACACGATTATGCGCATGACGTAAATTTTGCGAAAAAGCTGCCACGTAGCACAAAATCTCATTTAAAAAAAAAAGTCAAATGACTTTCTGCTGACACATTCCATGATGTGGGGAAGGGTAGAAAGGAGGAATAGAAATGACCTTCAGACGTCTCAGCTTCGATATGCGAAAAAAGTGCATTAAAAACTGAATTTGTCGTAAATTTTGCACATATGCGCATGCTGGAAGGTTAACCAACCTACTCCCCCAATTTTCCCATTGCATTTTATATTTCATAGAAATCACAAGTATTGCTTTTAATAATCATCATCTTTGGTAGTTATTTAGAAATCTCAAAACTGCAACCATAAGACAGAAATTTCTAATTGCAACATAAAGTTATACCTTAAAAAAAGTAATAACTAATTATATCTTTATATAAGCAGGAATTGCCCGAAAATAGCAGGAATTGTCCGAAAATACAAGACAACACCAAAAAAAGTATGACAAAGTATCACATCTCCACAGTCCAGTTTAAACTCAGAACTTATTTCCCTCAATACGTCAGACACTTCTTTCATTCCAGATATAAAGTTTCCTACCTGAGACATACTAAACATTTTTACCTGTGAATCTTGCACTGTCATTAATTACTAATAGTAAATGCATTAACTCTGTTTACAGCTCTTGCCTTCTCATGCCACCTTACAATGCTCAAAAGCCTACATTCAAAATTATATAAAATTTCAGATGAGAAAAATTTAGACATCAGCCATAAAAGCCAATGTATTTTGTAGGTCTAAAACATGAAAGTAAATCATCTATCAAATTACAAATTTCTGCTGAACGTGAAAGTTGGCAGAGATGTTGCCAAACCTGCACCAATAATTTTGGCAGAAGTGTTAATGGACCAGGTCATTCTTTACATAAACAGTAATCAGTAACCTCAAACATTAATCATTTTTTTCAAAATGTGATAAAAAACAGAACATATATTCCTGCTTACAGAAGTTAAAACAGGCTTACCAAAAAAAAAAAGGGTTTACATAAAACGAAGGTGAAATTCTTACAAAGCATGCTATCTATTTCTGTTGTAAATTACACTATTTGGCAACAATGTTTATGTGCTAATAAGATTTATAATGATGTTAAAAATGTCTCATTTATTTAACCTTTTGATGGTTATGAGATTAAGGAACTCCTTCTTACCAAATATGTGCTATATCTGTCAGTAATAACTTGGTTATGCTTGTTAATTTGTACCCACTGTGGTGTGTAACTGGAATGTGAGCTAAGCTCATTTCATGACCATCAAAGGGTTAATTTGGAAAGGGGAGATTTTTCTAAAATTCTTAAATATTCCAGTTACTTCAGCTCTCCAGTTAGTTGAATGCCAGATAGTTAATCTTTCACTGTTATTTCTATACCAACAGATTATTACACTGTAAATATGCATCCTGAAAATTACAAGCTGCATTGACAAAGTTGCATTTTAGGAGCCACGAGTTCTGATTGTTGTGCATAGGGTATTGCAAGTATAAGTATCTGTGTTTAGAGGACCGTGGCTTGAAAAAGTTTAAAAACTGATGTAAGCAGCCATCTGCAATTTACTTACTATTAGCAACAGCTCATTTTTTTGGATAATTGGCTAAAAGATTACACAAGGTGTCCCACAGTTACATGACACAAGAGCGTATGGCAACTTTCCACCAATACTTCCCAGGACATCTCATTTCATGAGATGACACATTAACTGGCTAGCAAGATCATCAGACTTATCACCAGTACACTACTTCCTGTCCAGTTCCAAGAGTATATGCCAACAAACCATTAACAACTGATGTACTTAAGGAAGAAATTAGAAGGGAAATTACAGCTATTCCATTTGACATGCTCCACTGCACCATTCTGCAGCTGTTTTCTCTTGCACAAATTTACAAATATTAATTTTATGTTTTATGCTAATTTTGAATTTCATCTCATGTGACATTCCAAAGTTTCTAGGAGGTATTTTAATACTTTTAAATTGAAGATAAATAACATAATTTAAAGATGAGAACTTTTCTTCTGCAAAAAGAGCTGCTTTTTCCAAGAAAGCTTACTGAAAAGCAAATAGTACATTAAGTCCAAAAATTAAATTGCACAAAATTCTATTCCTGAATTTCAATGACATATGTTACTTTAAATAACATACACTATTCACAGATAGTGTATTAAATACAGTAAAATTAATACAAAGTCAGGTATCCCAAGTAAGTGGGTGCATCACATAGAACATAATCAGGAAATATTTTGCCATAAACAAATCATTGCAAACCATCTTTCTTCTATGGAATAACTTCGGGATCTTTTACTTGAAATTTATGATTTTGAATGGTTAAATTTGCTATTTATCTTACCACCTCTTCTCTCCACTCACGCAAGATTATGCTCTGTATCTGGTGGACTAGCCACCAAGTGGTGCAATCCTGACAGGGTAACAAACCAACATGGCAGGCCTGTACTCGCAGCAGCTGTAACCCGTGCATCAGGCACTGATGCATAAAGAGCCAGCATTGGTCAATCGTAATGGAGTACTCCTCCTCCATGACAATGTGAGGATGTATGTGGCTCAGGAGGCCAGGGACAAAATCCAACGACTGGGCTGGGGAGATAACATAACATAACATTTAATGACGCTTCCTTCTTATGAAAAGAAGGAAAAGAGTTTAGGCAATGGGCTGGGAGATACTATCCCATCCACCATACTCCACAGACCTTGCACCAACAGACTACCTACCACCTTTGCCATTCTCTGAACGTGACAGATTTCATAGTGGCACATGTGTCCATATCAAAAATAATATACCACATAGAAGAATAGACACCCTGAGCATGAGCAAACTCGAGGCAAGGATTATTGAAATTTTTATTCAAAATTCACCGTCCCTAATGCTGATCTCTGATCTTCCCCCAGTAGGTAAATTACATGTGGAAGATTTTACTAAACTGCTCACTATTTCAAATAATTTGATTATTGCTGGTGATCTAAATTGTCACCATCAGCATTGGCGTTGTCGTAGATCAAACCCTGCTGGTCGGGCGTCCTAAAATGGGCTCAGTGCGCCCAAATTAAAATTATTTCGCCGGGAGCCCCTTCATTCATTAATTTGGCTCTATTTTGAAACATTCCTTTTGAATATAACGTGACTGTGGAAAATTGTTTATAATCAGATCACAACCCCGGTGATCATTGACCTTAGCTGTAATCTTATTAACCCAAATTCTCCGGCACTCGTCTCTACAAATTGGGAAGATTTCAGATTTAAACTTAAAAATAAACTTCCACCCTCCCTTGAAATAAAATCCAGCCATGATATAGAAACGGCAGTTGATCAATTAACGTCCACTTTAACAGATACTTATAAAGAAGTATCAAAACCAACACTTAGACCCAATTTTCGTAAACTTCCTCCTGAAATTAAATCCAAAATTAAAGAAAAGAATAAAAGTACGAAGACTTTGACAAAAATGTAGGAATCCTAACTTAAAATTACAACTTCGTACTCTCCAAAATAAGATCAAGGCATCATGTGACCAATTCTACCAATGACAATACACGAATTACATTCAGTCTTTAATGACCAATGACAACAGTCTTTGGCGTGCATCAGCCAGACTAGTGCCGCAAACAAAAATCAAACATTTCGCCCTTAGCTACGGATGCAGTGGTGGCGCATACAGACACCGAAAAAGCAGAATTAATTGCTGACTGCCTCCAAACTCAATTCACACCACATAATGAAGGAATTTTTGTGAACAACGCT